GTAAAAGTGTCTGTGTGTAACGGCTTCTCTGTGTAAATACTTCTGTGTGTAAAAACTGCTCTGTGCAAAGGATTCCTGTGTAAAAACTTCTGTGTAAAGGCTTCTTTGTGCAAAAACTTCTGTGTGTAGAGACTGCTCTGTGTGCAAAAGTGTCTGTGTGTAAAAGCGCGCGCGTGTGCGTGTGTGTGTACCATCTGAATAGATGTAAAACTTCTCTCTTTTTCTTTCTTCTTTCCTCTCCCTTTCTAATAATAATCATAATAATGCAGGGGAGTGGTGAGCAATGATGAAGTCACCACTCAACGAAGACGCTTCATCATTTGCTGTGATATGACGAAGGGACGCCTTTGTCACGTACCTGCCTTTTTCCGACATAGCAAGGGGATCTACTTTAGGTCTAATTGTCTAGGCTGGTTTGCATGTTACAGGACTCAGTTCCTGACGGATCTTTTCAAAGATCCTTTCTTGTCTAGTGTGATTCCTATGGTGACTCCGACAAGGTGCCATAGGGCCAATTGAGGCAACCCTGTTTAGGGTGACTGTCGACTGACCGGATTTCTGAATTGACAATTTTGAATTAGTAATTCGTTTAAGTAATGTGAAACAGCTGGCCTTATTGTTCTGCACCATTTCTGTGATGTCCCGCTGGTCCTTTGGTCCCAGGGTTCCTCCCCGAATGCAAGTCTATCGGAGTGAAGCCGTTCTGAACAATCAGAAACTCCGTTTTTACTGCAGCTTCAGCTTTTGAGAAATGGTCACAACAGCAAGGCAGGTTCATGCTTGCAGGTTTGGTGACTCTTTCTTTTGATGGTTGTCTGGTGAGGTCAAACATATTGTGCATCTACTTCGTTGGAATTTGAACAGCTGTTTCTGCCCTTGTGGCTGACCTGACTACCGTCCCGGAAAGGGAACAACGCACGATCTTTTGATTTCTAGGACTGAGTCTTGTTTTTAATTAATTGTTTTGGTCTTCTCTCGTCATCAACTAGTCCCCCATTTGGTCCCTAATTACCCTCCCTTCGCGGCTTCTCCGTAATGTGTTGCGGGGTTTGGGTGTGTGCCCTGTTCCTTGTCAGGTTCGTTTCGCCGTGTAGGTTGGTTCCGGAGGTCCGTCTGTTCCCTTCCCCCCCTGCGCTGTTTTGGTCGTTGGCCCGTCGTTTGTGTCCGCTTTTCTCTTCCTCTTGCCTTTCAGGGTTGACCCGGCTCCGGCCGGGTGTGTGTGTGTGTACACTGCTATTCACATGCAGAAAACTACAACTGGACATTTGATGACTATGCACGTCATGTTTTCCGAATTCATGCGCCAAAGACTATGCACGTTATGTTTTCCGAATTCATGCGCCAAAGACTACTTAACAGCAGGGGGCTGCAGGGAATGTCATAGTTCTGCAGCCAACGAAGACGGCTATGACATTCTGTGATATCGATCCGGGACGCTGGATCGACGTACCTGCCTAATCATGTCTTTCCATTTCCGCGATGGGATGTGGCTAACCCAAGAACCACCTTGCCGATTAATGATTTGGACCTGGTTTCACCTGTTTATCAAGGATGATGGACTCAGGATTCTATCAGGCATGTACAACCACATCGTCATTGCAGTTCACTTCCAAAAATCAACAGTGTGCATTAGTCGTGTGTCCTATACAGACCATGACCTCATCATCCCTAATGGGGAAGAACAATCTTGGCATAGTGTGCCGAATCCGCCCTCTACGGAGGCAGAAGTTGAGCGAGTAGCCATAGGGGCTGCTAGAAGTGATGGCAATAGCCGAAGGGGGGTCAAGGACAATTGAAGGGTGGCATAAGCCGAAGGAGTGCCCAACGGGCGAATGGTGCCCATAGGGCGAAGGTGGCCATGTGCCGAAGGATTTTATTGGCCGGGAACCCTACTTCTTACTGTCATTTTATGAGTTTTCACCTTCTCTTTCAAATCAATTTACAATTGTGAGGACAAGAGATCAATTTGAAGAGATCTAGAATATAGGAAGACCTATCACAAAAGTGTGCGCTAGGTCACATAGTTACCTATCACAAAAGTGTGCGGACACACATAGTTTGTGATGCTCGAACCAAGCAGAATGTCAAACACGGTAGGGACCTTATCGCTGCAGATGTGTGTACGATCTTGATTCATGTTTTCGAGGTTTTCTACTGAGCGAACACTTCAAACCAATCCAATAATTGAGACCATAGTCTTGTGAAGTACCTCCTTCGCCATAGCTTATTTTCACTGGGATGTGTTAGCTACCGACAGATACAAGGCGCATCTATGGGCTCACAGTGGGCCCCAGTTGTATGTTCACTAGTTGCCCTGCATCGAGAGCACACCTACAGCATGCTTTTTGGACAAGCCATTTTTTCTGAAAAACTTTTTAGTTCCTTTCGTTATGTTGACAACCGTCTGCTTTTGGGTCCACAACAACTCACTGATCGCCTTCGACAAACTTGCTTTTGGAATTTAGACTTCTACACCTCGCCCATTCTTTTGGAAGAAGTACAGGGTTTTGATGCACTTGGATTCAACATCAATCCACATCAACGTACCATTACATCGGTATTGCCTTGGGACACAGTGATACGCACTTCCGCTGGTTTTGGACCTAGAAGCTCCATGTATACAGGTCTCATTGCTCGAACACGTCTAATTTTACAAAATACTTTTCCTCGTGAACTTCAACTTCCTCAAGTTCAAGACCTGCTCGCCCTTCATACCCTTCAGGAACCTAGATACCGCGAATGCATTCCTCAGATCATTTCGATTGCCCGCAGTTTTGGACACAAATGGACCAGACAACAATTGACACCGTTTGACTGAAAAGAAGCCGTTGTAGCTGCATTTTGGTTTTGTGCTTTTCATTCCAATTGCAACTTTGCAACTGTTGCAACTGTTCAAACGTTTTTCTGCAACATCCCACCCAAAACGCCTGGCTCGCAGTGTGATATTTGTTTTTCCGTAATTGATTATATTCAGTTCTCCGGCTTAGTTTACGTCCGTTGTTCTACTCTATATGGTTCACGGTACTGCAACACACTGGCTTAAGTGTTATATAACTGTGATTTAATCAATCCATTTACTGTTTTTCATCACTGCGTTCTATCTCAACCACCTGACCTACGTGTTCTACGCGTCGGAATCTCAGTTTTTGGCGCATTCTGCCCTTCGTCCATAGACAACTAATAAACGTTCATTTTAAACGGATTTGTGGAAGAACAAGAATACAATCGATTTGTGTCCATTTCATTTCGTGGTATCCATGTTTCAATTGAAGTGCAGTTCTCTTCACTTTTTAACACTCCAAAGTCATACTGTCCTTGCTCTATTTGTTCCACGCGTCGGCAACCCAGAAGTGTCACCTTCCTTATGAAGACATATGTATATATGTGTATACCGCTCTCCACACGCAAAGTGTTGCGCAATCTGCAACAAACAATTGATGTTCGTGAGGGACAAGGGCACGATATCTTTGGATTGCATCATATTCAATTATTTCGCTAATACAAACTTTGGATTGCATCATATTCAATCATTTCGCCAATAACAATTAACACCTTTTAATCTAACCATGTCCTTTCCATTTCGACTATTTATCGCGATTTCTTTGATCTACGTGGTCTACTTGCTCTACACGCCGCTACCTCAGAGTGCCTTCTTTGGAAAGACCTGTCCATGAAGATGCAGGTGCGTATACACCTAATCCCAAGCATGAATTTCATTTTCGAATGAGTTCAACGTTGCTTATATTGACGTGATCTGCTTGCTTCATTAGGCAGTCTTTCAGAATTTGCCTTCCATGTGAAGGCCTTTTTGTGTGTGCACACTGCTATTCACATGCAGAAAACTACAACTGGACATTTGATGACTATGCACGTTATGTTTTCCGAATTCATGCGCCAAAGACTATGCACGTTATGTTTTTCCGAATTCATGCGCCAAAGACTACTTAACAGCAGGGGGCTGCAGGGAATGTCATAGTTCTGCAGCCAACGAAGACGGCTATGACATTCTGTGATATCGATCCGGGACGCTGGATCGACGTACCTGCCTAATCATGTCTTTCCATTTCCGCGATGGGATGTGGCTAACCCAAGAACCACCTTGCCGATTAATGATTTGGACCTGGTTTCACCTGTTTATCAAGGATGATGGACTCAGGATTCTATCAGGCATGTACAACCACATCGTCATTGCAGTTCACTTCCAAAAATCAAAAGTGTGTGTGTGTGTACCATCTGAATAGATGTAAAACTTCTCTCTTTTTTGCTTCTTCTTTCCTCGCCCTTTCTAATAATAATCATAATAATGCAGGGGAGTGGTGAGCAATGATGAAGTCACCACTCAACGAAGACGCCTCATCATTTGCTGTAATATGACGAAGGGATGCCTTTGTCACGTACCTGCCTTTTTCCGACATAGCAAGGGGATCTACTTTAGGTCTAATTGTCTAGGCTGGTTTGCATGTTACAGGACTCAGTTCCTGACGGATCTTTTCAAAGATCCTTTCTTGTCTAGTGTGTGTAAAAACTGCTCTGTGTAAAAACGTTTGTGTGGAAAGCGCCTTTGTGTGAAAGGTGCTTTGTGTAAGGGTTCCGTGCCTAAAATTTCTGTGTGTAAAAGGTGTTTTGTGTCAAAACTGCTGTATGTTAAGGCTTCCCTGTGTAAAGGTTTCCCTGTGTTCGGGCTGTCTGTCTGTTTGTCTATCTATTTACCTATCTACCTATCTATTTATCTATCTTTCTATCCACCTACCCCTGCCCCATCCAATCATCATCTGCTCCCACCATCCCAAGTCATCACCTTCGCCTCATAACAATCGGAAGGGTTAACATGTGGGGTTATCTGGTCCTTTAATTTTTTTTTCCGTGTTGCATCTCTGTCCCCAACCTTGGTTTAACGCTAATTTGACCGTGATCCTGCTGTCCCAGCAGCGTACGAGGAGGAGTGTCGAGAGAATGAGGCCAGCTGCGATGAAATTCTTGTGATGAATGGGCACAGATTTGTCACTCACTTCGTCCTTTCAACGCAGAACTTACATAGCATCATGATAGTGAACCACTTCGTTCCAATTGATATTTTCGTCATTTTTTAGTTCAGATTCATATGTTCTGAGGTTGGTCTTGCGACAGGGTGTACGAGCTGCCAATCAATCTTCATGACTTTCCAACAGATATTGTCAGATCCAAGCTTACAGTGACAATTTCCAAGCCAACTTGGGCTAGGGCGGCTATGGAAGTTGCCAACGATGGGTGTTATCACAGTTTCCAGTGTCCTAAGATGATATGGGTCTCGTTTGTGGTTTGTGGTGCGACAAATACCCAACCGATGAGCATATGAAGTGTTTGGTAGGCTTCTCTTACTTCAAGACTCATTGTTTGCCCCTTGATTTCGTTGCTTCTGTAAGTTTGCAAATGAAGACTGTTGTGTGTGTGTGTGCACCAATGTATATAGTTCGTCTTGAGATCTGTGTAGCAATTGCCAAGAAATCCATGGACACTCCAGCGACAGAGGTTTCCCACATGTTCTCACCAGGATGGTGCAGCGGGTACAATGCCACCAGTGCCGTCGGCGCCAGCATCACCATGCCAGGTGGGAGAAGCGGCGTCAGTTCTTCGAACAAGGTTTTCAGCTGCTGAATTATGTAAAACTTCACATGTTTCTCCAAACTATCAAAAATCTGCAACGATTTAGAACTGGTTCCAAAAAATGACCCAGTTTCTAAATGCTTCAGGACGAGCAGTCAGATGCAAGAAGAATGCGCAGAGAAGCAGAGAAACTTGTGAGTGACATCGAGGCACCTTGGATCTGCAACTTGAGACTCGCCATTCGACCAGCAGCCAAAACCTTTTGGGAGGTGATTTTAATTCGCTTCACATTCCAGCTTTGCGGGGTGGCATTTCTGTGCGAATGCAGTGAGGTGTTCCCAATTCATGGGACAAGTTCCATCTTTGTTCCATCGCCAATCGTTCTGCATATATAGGCAAAAGCGCATGAAGTATTGAGGGAGCAGGAGGAGGAGGCAAATGCCATTCGGATACGGAGAGAAGCAGAAAGACTTGTGGATGAACTGGAGGCTGCGTGGCATAGTGCTTCACCTCTGCTTGTGGGCATGGGTTCACCTTTTGGCAAGACGATAGCAACAGCAAGTGTTGCTTCTCTGTTTGATCTTTTGTTTGGTTGGATCGTCTTTGGTTGGATCGTCTAAGGGAGAGAGAGAGAGTCTACTTTGTGACTTTTTGTTTGAGATGCTTTTGTTTCAAATGCGCAAGAATCCACATTCGAGCTGGAAGAGCAATGAAGTACGCTGCAAGCACATGATTGCGGATGACATACCTTTGTTGGTCCACTCGCTGAGAAATCAGGCAAAAGCGAAAAAAGCCCTGAGAGAAAAGCACGAGGAGCAGCTCAGTGCCACAAGAATTCGACAAGAAGCTGAACGAATTGTGGATAGGGTGCAGGCAGGGCTGACCAGCATTCATCTGATTTTTTTTTCTTTTGGTGCTAGGACTGGGATCTGGAAGTGGGCAGGCTGATAGGCTCTTTGTTCAGATGTGGCAGAAGAAGTGTTACAGTGTTTTGATTTGCTTTTCCCTGTGGCTCAGCTATGAAATTGCAGGGGCAAGAGCCCGGAGTTAGCTTTCGGTCCCTTGGGACGGCCAAAAAGATGCCAAAAGCATACAAAAGGTTTTCAAAAGTCACCTCTATGGAATTGTGTCAGATTGTGTCAGGAACCACTGTGGCCCAATGTGTTGGATCATGGCACACTGGTGCCAGGAAAGGGCTCAGGAGGCCGCCAAAGAACAACAGGAACGATCCAATGCCACGAGTCTGAGGAAACAGGCGGCAAAACTTGTTGATGAAGTGGAGGCACATCCGAGAGCTCTTGGTGCTTTGTCTTTGTTGTCTTTCTGTCAGAGAATCCCAGACTCAGACTCAGAGGCCTATTCCAGTTGGAAACTTCACTTTGGCCTTTTTCTTTCCTCTTGCATACACATAGCACCTGTTGCCCAAACAGAATCTGACAAGTCACTCTTGCTAGCGGGACGATTTGCATAGTGACTGCATCATTCTTTGGTGGCCTTGATTTTTGTGTCGACGATTTCTTGCACTTGGCGTCGATAGAACGTGCGGCACGGAATTGGGGCACGTGAGTTTTGATGGTCCTCAATTCTGGAACGGGACCTTTAGCTCACAACAACTAGTAAGTCAGTAGACCTCAAACTTGAAGAGTTCAGGCAGAGGCGCGAAAAGCCTTAAGAGAACAGCGAGAGCGCTCACAATCTAGACAAGAAGGCAGAGTTGAGGCACGACCATTTTCCAAAGTTTCATCGGTCCCTATTTCTTTTCTTGAACTTGTGGACTGCGTTTGTTGAAGCTTGAGCTGCAAATTAAAGAAACTGGTCATGGCTGCCAACATCTCAAATTCGTTCCAAAACAGAACAACATGTGACACAAATATATGTACTACTAGAGCTCTTTCAAGTCAAAATCAAGAAAGCCCGAGATTGTGACTTCTTGACGCCACAGCCAAGCGTGCTTGGTTTCAGCATCCTGCGGTCTGCAAACGGACCAGATGCATTTGATTGCCATATCCTGATGCTGCCACACTTGTTTGATTTACTGTACCTGTATTGCAGTCCAGTACGAAAATAAATAGAAATACCAACAATTCGAAACGAGATTTGCCGTACCGGGCTGAGGAAAAAAGTTTCGTAGACAAATCGGCCTCCACCTTGCGAGGCGAAGGAACCATCTACAGCATGGACCTCTGTTGCAAAACTGATGTTGCGAGGGTTGGGTCGATTGTAGGAGTAAACCTGAGCAGAGGCATTGCGCTTGTGCTCGGGTACTGTTGGCTTGCCACATTTGTGCCTCTTTAATAACTCTTTAACATATTTTTCATGTTTTGGCGTGACTGGCCCAGTGCCCAGGCTGCCGCCGACCCAGATCCGGCCACTACCAAGCTCCGTGTCGAGGCAGAGAAGTTGGAGGCTGGTTGGAATTTAATGGCCAAATCATGACAAATCGATTTGATTGCTGTTGTGAAAATCAACACAACCATGCTTTTGGCGGCATTTTTTGGGCTCCATGTTAATGTAGGTTGGTGTATGAAGTGTATTGATTGACCATGGCTTCCAGTTGTGTTTTTCAATATTTTTGAGTCAAGTTTAAATTTTGGTATCCCCAACACGGCTTCACAACACCATATCGAACAGGGTTGCAGGCGGAGATCCGGGCAACTTTCACTGAGCAGCAGAAGAAAGATGCAGCTGATAGGGCTGAGGCGGGGCTTGGTCACCAGTCCAAATTTTGCAAGAATTGCCTAGTCCAATTGAGCCTGTGTATTTGCAACTGACTTCTTCGAAACCACATGCATTGAACTCTGGCAGTCCTGCCACACCACATTTTCGCCTTTGCCCATTGTCAATTGTACTTTGGGCTGTTGGCCGCCGGAAATTGGGTACGATATCCGACATGGTGAAAAGCCGAGCATGACCAGTCCAAGGGCGCAGAATTCTTGCCCGTTGGCAGGCCACGAGCAGAGCGTTGGACGCCCAATTCGAAGCTCTTCAAGAAAGTGAGAAGGATCGTGCGGAGGCGTAAGCACTAGGGCTCACTCGGAAACAGGAACGCTCATGATAGCCTCTTGGAGGCAACTGTATCAAACTTGTGCCAAAAAAATCCTTGCTTCTACCTTTAGAGACATGCCTGGACATTATCCCCATCGTTGGTGGCATTGTTTACACCATAGTCGGCCAGCGTAACTTCCTACGTTTTTAATCGTTTTGTAGCCTATAAATGCTTATACTCTATATGATGATTTGTATAAATATAAATATGTATGTATATATATAGTATTAATATGGTTTGCAGCTTCATTTTGCTAGATGCCTTGCTCTGCAATTCTAAGCTTGGTTGAACTGCCTGAGGGCATCTATGTCTGCAGGTTGCGGGTCTAACCTGCAAGGGGTTCAAACAGAAAGTAGATCAAAGTCGGGCTGCTGACTAGTATTCCGCTTCAAATCAATGATGCCACACAGAACTTCACTAAATCAGAAAACGACTGCAGCCAGACGTCACGTGAGGCGTTCCAAGCTTTGGAAGCAACACGTGAAGTGGTTCGCCAGGGTGACCTGGCCTATGCGAAGGCAGGGTGCAGACGAGCCAAAGAGTGGATGCAGAAACAACACTGGCCCGTTTCTTTTTTTCTTATCTTTGTCCATCATTTTAAATCTGTTTTCACCTTTCTTCATCTTTTTTCATCACTGTTCATCATTTTTCAGATGTTTCTTTAACACTTTTTAATCTTCTTTTTCACATGTTTTCATCGTTTTTCACCACTGTCATTTCTTTCTCATAATTTTTTAAATATTTTTTTGATTCACCTTTCTCTTTCATTGTTTTTGAGGATTTTTTTGTTATATTTTTGTTTTTTGATCTTGTTTGATATGTTTTCATTTTTTGGAGATCTTTTTTTGATCATTCCCCAACAGCGTAAGCTAATGGGGTCTTCAGCCCAGAATAGCTCCGGTGTGCACTGGTGCAGGCGCCGGGTTAGGTTCAACGAGGTTCCTGAAAAGGTTCCGAAGGTTCCGGAGAAGGTCTGGGAGGTTTTGGTGCAGAGCCAGGTCACGTTCAACAGGGTTCCGGAGAAGGTTCTGGAGAAGGTTCCGGAGAAGGTTCGGAAGCCTTGGTGCAAAGCCAAGTCAGGTTCAACAGGGTTCCGGAGAAGGTTCCGGAGAAGGTTCCGGAGAAGGTTCCGGAGAAGGTTCCGGAGAAGGTTCCGGAGAAGGTTCCGGAGAAGGTTCCGGAGAAGGTTCCGGTGGTTGGGGAGGCTTTGGTGCAGAACCAGGTCAGGTTCAACAGGGAGAAGGTTCCGGAGAAGATTCCGGAGAAGGTTCCGGAGAAGGTCTGGAGGCTTCGAGGTTCAACAGGGTTCTGGCGAAGGCTCAAAGGTGTTGGAGGCTTTGGTGCAGAGCCAGGTTAGGTTCAACAGGGTTCCGGAGAAGGTTCTGGAGAAGGTTCCGGAGAAGGTTCGGAAGCCTTGGTGCAAAGCCAAGTCAGGTTCAACAGGGTTCCGGAGAAGGTTCCGGAGAAGGTTCCGGATAAGGTTCCGGAGAAGGTTCCGGAGAAGGTTCCGGTGGTTGGGGAGGCTTTGGTGCAGAACCAGGTCAGGTTCAACAGGGAGAAGGTTCCGGAGAAGATTCCGGAGAAGGTTCCGGAGAAGGTCTGGAGGCTTCGGTGCAGAGCCAGGTCAGGTTCAACAGGGTTCTGGCGAAGGCTCGAAGGTGTTGGAGGCTTTGGTGCAGAGCCAGGTTAGGTTCAACAGGGTTCCAGAGAAGGTTCCGTAGAAGGTTCTGGGAGGCTTTGGTGCAGAGCCAGGTCAGGTTCAACAGGGTTCCGGAGAAGGTTCCGGAGAAGGTTCCGGAGGAGGTCTGGGAGGCTTTGGTGCAGAGCCAGGTCAGGTTTCACGGAAACCCAGCTGAGGTGTTTCCAGCGCTTGGCTTCGCAGCACGCTTCAGAAAGATTTGTAAAAATCTAACCTTGCGGCTGCCGGGGATACCACCGAAGCTTATTCATCTTTTGCAACATCTTTTTTCATATATGTTTCCCGCTTTTCATGGCTGCCAATGGATCAGGAAATTGTAGAAGCTGTCAATCATTTTTGCCTCAGACTGGATCCTTGCAATAAACTGTCATGGAGAGCCTTTCCCCCCTTGCCATTAAACATGCTTGATATGATCACAGCATATTGAAAGCTTTCGATGGTCTCTGAAGGCCGAATTGTCCGAGACAGCTAGACGGGAAGCAGAGGAGAGAGCCAAAGCACAAGAGAAAGAGGCGCAGCACATCTGCAGCTGCTTTTCTCAAAAAGATGTCACATGTCCTAGGGCGACATGGGAAGCTAACGATTTTGCTCCCTGTGCTGCAGATTCAAGATGCCCGACGTCGCATGATGCAAGAACAAGCGCTTCAGAAAACAGAGTCGGAACGACGAGAGGCACCTGTGGGGACCCTTTCATATCTGGCTGAAAATCTTCAGAATGAAAGACGAAATAATCTTAATATATTACAGTAGAGTTGCCCCCTGGAGGGATCCCGACTTCACAGTCCCTTGGCCAACGAGGCGCTGAGAGCTCTGCAAGCTACTCGCCAAGTTGCGCGGAACTCCAACGACGATGCCAAGGCCAACCATGCAACTAGACGACGGGTGGCCCGAGAGCGTAGAGGAGCAGGGTCTTCTCTTGTTAGTATGGAGACACCATATTACAAAACAATAAATTAAAAAAGTGTTATAGGCAGTCGAGAAGAGGAGTATCAAGACAATATAGCACAAGTACAAGACAATAGTTTGCATTGCAAATACTTTTACACACAGAAGCTTTTACACACAGACGCTTTTACACACAGACACTTTTACACACAGACGTTTTTACAAACAGGCGCTTTTACACACAGACGTGTTTACACACAGGCGCTTTTACACACAGACAGTTTTACACACAGAGACTTTTACACACAGACGCTTTTGGACCACACAGTTCGGTCATTCTGAGAGCATTTCCACACACAGACTTATTTACGCACACACACACACACTCGCTTTTACACGCACACGCTTTTACACACAGACACTTTTACACGCTGACGCTTGTACACACAGACGCTTTTACACGCAGACGCTTTTACACGCAGACACTTTTACACACAAACGCTTTGACACAAAGACGCTTATACACAACAGAAACTTTTACACACAGACGGCTTTACACACAGACGCTTTTACACACAGAGGCTTTTACACACAGAAGATTTTACACACAGAAGTTTTTACACGCAGAGGCTTTTACACACAGAAGATTGTACACACAGAAGCTTTTACACGGACACTTTTTACACAAACGCTTTTTCACACAGGCAGACACTTTTATATACACAAACGCTTTGACACAAAGACACTTTTACACACAGAGACTTTTACACACAGACGGCTTTACACACAGACGCTTTTACACACAGAGGCTTTTACACACAGAAGATTTTACACACAGAAGCTTTTACACACAGAGGCCTTTACACACAGAAGCAATGGCACACACAGAAGCTTTTACACAGACGCTTTTTACACAAACGCTTTTACACACAGGCAGACACTTTTACACACAAACGCTTCGACACAAAGACACTTTTACACACAGAGACTTTTACACACAGACGGCTTTACACACAGACGCTTTTACACACAGAGGCTTTTACACACAGAAGATTTTACACACAGAAGCTTTTACACACAGAGGCTTTTACACACAGAAGATTGTACACACAGAAGCTTTTACACAGACACTTTTTACACAAACGCTTTTACACACAGAAGCTTTTACACACAGACACCTTTACACACAGAAACTTTTACACACAGACGCTTTTACACACAGACACTTTTACACAGAGCACACAGAAGCTTTTAAGCAGACGCTTTTAGACAGACACTTTTACACAGATGCTTTTACACACAGAAGCTTTGACACACAGCACACAGAAGCTTTGTACACACAGAAAAAACCGTAATTTTACCGCAGTTTTTGACGATCGACCCTCATTTCGTGCGAAAGAGTTGCAACGGGAACCCGGAAATCGCAATTTTACCGCAGTTTTTGACGATCGAACCTCGTTTCGTGCGAAAGGGTTGCAACGGGAACCCGGAAATCGCAATTTTACTTCAGTTTTTGGCGATCGACCCTCATTTCGTGCGAAAGGGTTGCAACGGGAACCCGGAAATCGCAATTTTACTTCAGTTTTTGACGATCGAACCTCGTTTCGTGTGAAAGGGTTGCGGCGGATACCTTGAAATCGCACTTTTATACCTCAGTGTTTGACGATCGAACCTCGTTTCGTGCGAAAGGGTTGCGCCGGACAAGTTGAAATCGCAATTTTACCTCAGTGTTTGACGATCGAACCTCGTTTCGTGCGAAAGGGTTGCGGCGGACACCTTGAAATCGCAATTTTACTTCAGTTTTTGGCGATCGAACCTCGTTTCGTGCGAAAGGGTTGCGTTTCGTGCCGTCTCGTTGGCACTGCCCCTGCCCCCGCCTTCAGAAGAGAAATAGAAAAGAAGGAGAGGGCAAGAGGGGCAAGGGGCAAGAGGGCAAGAGGGCAAGAGGGCAAGAGGGCAAGAGGGCAAGAGGAGAAGATGTGAAGATGTGAGGATGTGAAGATGTGAGGATGTGAAGATGTGAAGATGTGAGGATGAGAAGATATGAAGTTTAGCAGATGTGAAGATGTGAAGATGAGCAGCTGTGAAGATGAGAAGATGTGAAGATGAGCAGCTGTGAAGATGAGAAGATGTGAAGATGAGAAGATGTGAAGATGAGAAGATGTGAAGATGAGAAGATGTGAAGATGAGAAGATGTGAAGTGAGAAGATGTGAAGATGAGAAGATGTGAAGATGAGAAGATGTGAAGATGAGAAGGTGTGAAGATGAGAAGATGTGAAGATGAAAAGGTGTGAAGATGAGAAGGTGTGAAGATGAGAAGATGAGATACAGACCCCCACTATTGGAAGAACCCTGCGCTCAGACGCTCTCGGGAAAAAACAACAGCAGAAAACGAAATCCAAAACAAAAAGACCCTTAACCAACCCTCTTCCCATTTTGAGTCATTTGCGTTGAGTCTTGTGCTTTACAGTGCGCTTTGAAGGGCGGGGTACTGGTTTTCTTGATTTGTTAGTTTGAACAACAAGGCAGCAGGATGACGTTTATCTTACTTCTTCATTTCAATTTTGAACTAGTGTGCAATTTTTGAAGCCGATTGAAGACATTCCACTGCAGCGCGGCCCCGAAGGCAAAATGGGAGCAGATGAAGGCACAAGCAGCAGAAGCGGAACGAGAGGTGAAAGAGGCCAGCACGGCATCAACAGCCAGGGTGACACCCACGGCAGCGGTCTTCTTGTGGCAGTTACGATTGTGATTGTGGTTATGATTGTCGTTGTTGTAGGGGTTGTGGTTCCGGTTCTGGTTCTGGTTTTGGTCGTGATTGTTGCCGTTGTCGTGTTCATTGTCGTTGTCGTTTCATAGTCGGTGTCGGTGTTGGTGGTGTTACTGTTGCTGCTACTGTTGCTGTCCCTGTCGCTGTCGGTTTTGTCCTGGTGGTTGTGGTGGTGGTGGTTGTTGTTGTTGTTGTTCTTCTTCTTGTTCTTGTTGTTGTTGTTGTTCTTGTTCTTTTTCTTCTTCCTCTTCCTCTTCCTCTTCCTCTTCTTCTTCTTCTTCTTCTTCTTCTTGTTCTTCTTCTTCTTCTTCTTCTTGGTTGTGGTTGTGGCGGTGGTGGTTGCGTCTTCTTGCAAAAACAATGATTGCTGATGTTTTTTTTCCTCTCTCTCTCTCTCACACACACACCATATATCACGAAAACGTACGTAGCGCCACTTAGGCTGGCCATGACAGCTTCATTTTGTTCCTGCGGTTGGGAAACCAGCACGGACCATTGCACCCCCATAAGAAAGTTTTCCAAAGTTTTCCATGGGCGTTGACACGTCTCACTGTGGCAACTATGGCTCAAGCCATTCAATTGGCTCAAGGGCCAATCAAACGACTGGCTCAAGTACACCCAGCCCAACTTGGAGTGAAAAAGGTGCACTTGCATCTGCCTCTTGGTGGGGTGCTCTGGGAAGGGACTCGGTAGTTTGAAACCCGTGGGTTTTGAGCCCAACCCACACGCAGCCATGTCAAGCAGTGACTTCACCCAGCGTCGTTGACAAGGAGGACATCAAGGTCAGGCGGCTGCTCGTGCTGAAGAAGTACAACATGGGTCCCATGGAAAGGAAGCAGGTGCTGAGACGGCTGATGAGATGCTGGATCGGCTTCTGCAGGACGTGAACACACCTGAAAAGGGACAACGACAAGACCACCACACTCAACCCGAAGATCATCGACAGCAAGGGACGTTGGAGAAGGTGTCGGGGCACTGACTGGTGCTGGGGAAATTCCAGTATGTGCTTGTGGCCGCAAGCCCCGGGATGGTATCCGAGGTCATGGCCATGGAGGAAATGAACCCGTTGAGTGATGCAAAGCGAGTGGAAGCTTTGATGAGCAGCCCACTAACCCATGTGAAAGAATCCACTTATCCCACAGCGCCACAAGATCTCTCAAGCGATCGAGAAGCACGGAAGAAGGAGAAGTTGGAGAGATTGAGAATTCAGATTTTAAAGAATGCGGAAGAAAAATTTTGCGTGGCCGGGCGGCTATCCAGCAAGAGTTGGATAACATGGGGGCCACATCCGAAAGTTCGAACTTGACCGGGCCCGAGAGACTGGGGGAGGACGCAAGAGCTCACAATCGAGTGGGGGGTCTTACCAAACAGCGTCTCCGGAGCAGAAGAACACTGAGCTCAATCCTGTACAAGGACAAGGTGTTTAATTGCTAATGAAAGTTGGGGAGCAGTTGGTAGCTGTACCACCTCCTCCTCCAAGGGTCGAGCAGGAACATCGTCCTATGGATATGTATATGAATTCTGGGTGGATGAATGGCATGCCATTGGAAGGCGTACGTACTCCAAACCCAAGACAACCGATGAGAAATCAAGGCCTGGGGGCAACAGAAAACATAAGCTATTTCTCTATCGGTGACCAACAAGGCCACAAGGGACATCATCCGGGTTGGATGTGGTTTGCCGGGAGGAAACGCCGGACCTATGGGAAGGGATGGTGTCCCACCACAAGGCCATCAAGGGAACCCGGGCCAAGCCCCAGGTCCGCCAGATGGTCATCAAGGGAATCCGGGGCAAGGTCCGGGTGCACCAGGGGGAAATCCAGGACAAGTTGCACCACAACAGCAAGTGATGCCGCCTGCTGGGAGAATTTCAGACTGAAACGCTGAGGACCGTAGAGCTGCCGAAGCTGGACCGGAACTCAACAGCTATTGGTTTTGGAGACTGGCTGACGATCGTCAGACCGGAAATAATCTGGGATGTTAGCTACACTTCGGCTCCATGGTGGGAGATGATAATGACGTCGGTGGAACAGGCGTACGAGCAATGGCGCTGCACCGACCCACTCATGCGTCTGAGGATGGCGCCCATCGTGCCGCATCTATCATGCAGGTGGCCTCGTACCGAAACCAGGGTGATGAATATGCTATTGCAAGCTCTGCCAGCGGACATCCACGAGGAATTAGTCTCGAACCGAAGGATGTCAACTGACCAGATCATGTTTAAATTATACACGATTTCTCAAGCTGGTGGCCAAACGTTGCTGAAGTGTTGGTGACTTGGAGGTCACCTTCCAGCAACGTTGCTGAAATGGCCACGTCTATCCGAAAAGGGAGAAGTGGGTAGTCCGAGCTGAAGAACTTCAGATAGTTTTGCCCGACCCGATGGTCATGGCTGGAGTGGTCGCAACAATAAGTGATGCACTGGCTACAGTGGGGGGAGCTCAAGCTGGATACCGGCTTGCCATGGTAAGGCAGCATTTGGGTATCGACCTGCGGCCAGGAATGAACAAAATCCGGACCTTGCAGAGCTTCTTCAAGCCGAGGCTGAAGAAATGCTCCATTCGGCAACAAGGAGTTCCAGCCCAAGGTTCGCAGCCCAAGATCACCGCTCTGGGAGTGAAATCGATGAGTGTGCCTGGCGTTCAGCAAAACGGTTGTCAAAAGGAAGAGTCCGAACGCGCTGAAGGGTCCTCCACTGGAAAAAAAGGGAGCCAAACCCGATTTGCCGATCAATGCTATGTAGTTCACAAGACAGCCTGTAAACATGGGCTGACCGACAAGGGATGCCAGTATGCAGATAAGTGTCGCTTTGCGCACGCCGTTCTTCGCGCAAAGGATGGAAGATGTTTCAACTGTTCTGGAAAAGGGCACTCCAGGCGCGAGTGTGCTTCTGGGAAAAGAAGTGAATCGCGTGAATCGCAAAGTGAGTCAGAACAAGACGGAGATGCGGGCGCGCCAGAAAGCATTGAAGGTGGATTGGATGAGGCGGAAACCGCCGTGCAAATCATTCCAGAAGATGCTCAAGCGGTTCAAGAAGTGAATCACCTCCTGAAGGGCATCGCTGGTCCAATGCTGAAGTCGGTGGGGATCTCGAAGTTGAAGGAACAGGTCTCCTGGATGGAGGTCCTACGCACCCCCTCCGAGAGGGAACCAGCGACGAGATCAAGAACACAGTGCAGGTCACGGTTGAACTGGCTCACGGAGCCACGCAGCTCTACCAAAATCCCATGAATGGAACGGTTCTATCGGAGACACCGGTAGACCCTATAGTTCCTTTCAGAGGACTTGTGGACTTGGGATGCACTATCACATGGTCCTGCGCGGGATGTGTGGTGAAACACCCAAGACTGGGAAAGATCGAATGCTGGTTGCGGTCTGGATGTCCAGTGGTCCGAAAAGATCACGCCCTGGCTCTCATCACCGAGATCGAGCGCATGGACACGAAAAAGAGGACCAACCGACGTTTCATGCTGGAAGAATCGGATAACATCTTTACCAAAATCTCCAGCCTGCTGATGAACCAGCAGTGGGGGATCCTGGTGTCTGTTCAAAAGTTTCAAACTTTTGCGTTTCAAAAGTTTCAGGACAAGACAATCAAGGCTCGGGGGAGGCACCTGCAAAAGAGGTTGGAAGCCCAAACTCGGGGAGTTCATCGTCAGAAAAGTCAGCCTGGAACATCAACAAAATTTGGACGCCACATTTCCAAGTGCAAATCCGGGACAAGATCAACAAGTGCAGACTTCAAGGGCAAGATCCACGAAGGGGATTGCGCGTCTTGAAAAACAGCAGCTAGAAGGTGAGATCTGTGACGCCGTTCTTGAAAAAGAAGGACACGCCTGGACAAGAAGACCATCCTGAAAAAGAAGGGTATATATAAGGGTATCCTTAAACGGGGTAATGGGTCCACCAGGGGTAGTTCTAAGCCTAAATGGGTTAAGTTTTGGGATGTACATGCGCCAATTTTGTCAGTTTTTTGGGTGCAAGATCATCACGGTCATGCTCCCCAATCCAGAAAAAGTGGGGCACATCCCTGAGATCATCATTGGAAGTGGTCAGCGGGAAATCCTCTCTACGGATCGCATTGGGTCCGAGGAAACCGAACATCGTGATGCGGATCTCGTGAGGTCAGGTTTCCAAGATGTTGGGAACCTTGTGACAGCTCGAGGGCTTACAAGTTTGTGAAAAGGTCCGCGGCAAGGGAAAATCCCCAACAAGAGGAGAAATCCGGCCAGGGGCCCCCTGGCCGGTCCTTGCCGAAGGCGTTTCTCTCCTCTCCGTAGGAGAGAGGGGCCGCGCCCCCTGCCGCAGGAGAGTCGGTACGGCCAAAAACCACCGCGTTTTACGGTGTTTTGTGCTCTTCCCATTTTTTCCCATTTTTCGGATCTTGTGGTTTAAGATGGGTCAACATGGGCCAAGATAGGCCTCAAGATGGGCCAACATAGGCCTCAAGATGGGCCAACATAGCCTCAAGATGGGCCAACATAGCCCCAAGATGGGCCAACATAGCTCCAAGATGGGCCACCATAGCCCCAAGCTGGGCCAACATAGCCCCAAGATGGGCCAACATAGCCCCAAGATGGGCCCACATTGCCCTCAAGATAGGCCAACATAGCCTCAAGATAGGCCGCCGACCATCAAAATACCCTACGTTTTACAGTGTTTTTCTGGCTGTTCCCATTTTTCAAATCTTTTGGCTCAACATGGGTCAACATGAGGCCAACATAGGCCAACATAGCCACAAGATGGGCCCACATTGCCCGCAAGATAGGCCAACATACGCCAACATAGGCCAACATAGCCACAAAATGGGCCCACATAGTTGGGCCCCTGGCCGGCTGTCGCGCGTAAGCGCTTAAATACATTTTCACGAGAAAAGAAAACCTTCCAAAGAGGGTCCAAAAAAGAAACTCAACGGCCATCGCCGGCGAGTCGTGCCAAAAAACATCAGCGGCTGCTGCGCGGTCTTCATTGGCGGCTCAGCTTTTGCGCATTCTGGTGGCAGCCCTGAGATTGAATTCAATAGAGTTTGGAAGATCCGGAACAGTGCATGGCTTGACCGTCCAAATTTTCCTGCAAGGGTGGGAAATAAAGTTTTGAGTTTTAAGTTTTTAGAGTTTTTTGCCCGAAGAGGTATTCCACACTGAAGGGATTAAAGGGGAATAAACACCGACTGGGTTCTTGGCTCACGAGGGTCTGCGCCCTTCCGGCTGGGGGAAGGGCGAGTTCCCAGTGAAGACGTGGCCGCCCTTGAATTTGTTGGTTAGGCGTTGATGAACCTGGATTCCCGCGAGCAAGTGCGGTTGGGAAACCGGCACAGAGTACCATTGCACCCCCATAAGAAAAAATTCAAAGCTTCCATCGTCAAGACGTCCTCCGACTGTGGCAACTATGGCTCAAGCCATTCAATTGGCTCAAGGGCCAATCAAACGACTGGCTCACCGAGCCCAACTTGGAGTGAAAAAGGTGCACTTGCATCTGCCTCTTGGTGGGGTTCTCTGTGAAGGGACTCGGTAGTGTGAAACCCATGGTTCCAAAGTAACGAAACCCCAGTAACCCATTTGAAAAGGGCAGAATAAGGCTCTAGAACTTTGTGGAATGACCACGCCCCACCTTTGAACGAGAGAGTCACATCCAACCCCGAAACTGAAAGACAAGTGAGAAACATCAGTAGATCCAGTACATATGAAACATATGGTCCCGGAAAGACTCTTTCTAATGGCCACTGGAAAGAATTGCTTGCTTGTGTTTCCACATGCACGTCTTTTTCGTACTCGCATTTTTTTGGATTCACCATGCACACAAAATTTTGCATGGCTTTGCAACTACTGACCATGGTTCGGCGCAGTTTTCAGCGCCGTGACCCAAGTAGCCCGTCTGAGTTTTTTCATTCACAACGTGGGCCTTTACCCAGCCATGTTGCTCAATTCACACAGTTTTAGCTCAATTGTTTGGTTCTTTGATCAATTTAATCCCCCATGTCTTGTTGGCCTAGGCTGCGAACAAATGGAACCGCCAAGCCGAGGAGAAGGCGGCCCAGGTCTGCAGTGAGCGTTTTCAAAATGCTTCAGTTTTACAAATGTATCACTTCATTTTGAAACTTGCCAATTTCTGTAGTATAGGCGATAGGGAAATGAAACCTTGTATTTTCGCACCCCAAAGGCGATCATTGCTATGAATGCCTGCCGGAGTGTCGTTTTGCCGGTCATGAGTGCGCTTTCAAGACAGATGATGTTGGATTAACGATTGTTTTGCCGGTCATTGGTGCACTTTCAAGACAGATGATTTTGGATTAACGACGAAAGCTAGCTTGGTAGCTGGAGTTGGATTTGCTTTAGCAGCTTAGCAATGAATTGGGGGCAGACTGGATGCAGCTTCCATGATCTTTCATGTCGAACTGGTTTTGGGGCTCCGCTGTTGGGCATGCTGATAAAATCATGTCGAACTGCCCCCCCCGGGCTCAAACCCCGCTACGTCCGTCCCGCTGGGTTTCATCTGTTTCATTTGTGACCACGCGTTCGCTTGCCCACACGCACACACATATACAAGATTATATTCACATCGAGTGTTGTGAATGCAACGCAATGCAGTGCAATGCAATGCTATGTAATGCAACGCAATGCAATGCAATGAATGTAACGCAATCTTATCTAACCTAATCTAGTCTAATCTAACTAATGTAATGGAATGTAACCTGTTGCATTCCAACCTAATCTAACCTAATGTAATGTAAAGTAATATAGCCTAATGTATTGGATATCCAATCTAACCTAACCTAATGTGATGTAACGTAACGTAATGTAACGCAATGAAATGAAATGACATGACATGAAATGAAATGAAATGAGAGAACAACAACTTGGAATCTTGCATTCCATTTCCTGAAGAGGTCTGCATGAAAACATGACCCGGTTTTGGCGAGGAATGAAAGATGCGCATCTTAAGATTCCCATGGGTTTCTTGCTCGATGGATGTATGCACTTAAGTTACCAGATTCTAAGACTGGGTTATTTGTAAAGCTTTACATATAGACTATAGAGCTAGGCAGATAGAGATGCTTAGACATAACCATCATAGACACACACACACAGAGATATATATATATAAATAAAACATGTCACGGACAGGAACAAGGAAGGAACGGCCAAAGGAAAGAGGTTCAATCAGATGTTTGCAAAGTGGTTCAACCGAAGCGGGTCCGGTTGGGGCACTTTGAATTTCACAAGTAGAGTGCTAGGAATGTAATGTTGACGCCGGTAAGCTAGGATGTCAGGGAGACTGTTGCGGAATGATTATGGTGCATGCGAACTAGAATATCATGATACGCTGCTGTAAGCGTCTCAGCAACATAGAATGATATATAACTTAGTTCAGTTCGAAAAATTACACGCAAAGGGTCGCGCCACAAATTTTATCAATACACGTGTCCTCTTGCCCAACTAGTTTTCGTCCCTTCCCTTTGGCTTCAAGTCTTTGATCAGCGTTGACCCTGCGAAGGCCCAAGTTGGCCAAGTCGCCGAAACTGAAATACGCTCCGAAGAACGCAAAGTCCAAAAGGCTTTGCAGCCAACGAATTCGATTAAAAATTCTCCGGATTGTAGTTGGCCAATGTAAAAACACGAGGTTGTTTTTGAAGATGCGCCACCTTACTCCTCTGGATCCACAGGTCTTGCTGCACTTCATGGTAGAGATATTCCACATTTGTCTTCAAACGAAACTATCTGATCATATCTCATCCTTCGGTCGCGGGAGGTGCAACCAGATGTAAAAGACGAATTGGAACGTGCGCAGGCACCCCTGGACCCCGGCTGTGGTGGTTAAACAACTTTCAAGTAGTCAAGAGATGAATTGAATTTTGCCTGGTAGGTGAGACCTTCAGAGCATCAAACATGGTACTTTGTAGGGCATTGTGGAACTGTACAAACGATATGCCTTTGACAAACTGCAGATGATGTGATGACCGTTTCACCCTGTGATTGATGCCAACGCACGCCTCAGGCAGAAGCTGATAATTTATTGGCTTCAGCACAGAAAGCAAAGGTCCCCGTATTTGGGAATGGCCTTGGGAACGATGGAGCCAATTGTGCACAATGCACCTCAAAATCTGGCAAGGCCATGGCGCAAAAATTGAATCACCACCTGAACTGATCGTCGCTAGTTTCAGCCCAACGAGGGCCTAGCAGACGTTTGACAGTGCAGCAATGAAGGGCTTCACTGTTTCACTGTTGCGGCGCCCTGATCTGGCAGGCCTTGGCTGAAGAAGAGCACGAACGTACTCAGCAACTTCAGCTGGAGGCGAAACGAGCCGAGGCTCGTCTCACGGTGTGCAGAGCTGTAACATGTTGTAACATATTGTAATAACATGTAATACTCGTAACTGTTTTAATATCCACTCTTGGATGAATTTGCATTGTGGATTTGGACCATTCTTTCTGAGGCTTCAAGGCCCACGGACATAGGCGAATTTAGTTGATTTTAGTCCTATCCAATCGTTTTTCCTGAATTTGCACCAGTGGTGCAGCTTTGATCCCTTGTCTCAGCCCAGTGCAGGCAAAGGCGAAGGCTGCACAGATGGAAGCCTTGAAATGCCGGGAGAAGCTTCGCATGTCTCAGAAAGAGGCCTGGCTGTGGAAGGAGAATGAACCTCAGGATGGACCTGCAGTGATGGAAACAGTGGAAACAGCGGAAAAGAATGGGACACCTGGCAGCACACTTTTTTTGTTTTGTGCCAGTTGTGTTTCATGACGTTAAGGAGTCTTTGTGATTGTCTCTCGACACCTATATAATCCAGTGAGGTTTTAAGACCCTGGCATTGCTTCAAACATGATGGTACATCATGCAAGACATATTGGGTATAGATATACTATAAGTATGCAACACATGCACACACACAAAGTTGCGTAAAATCACATATGCGGGTTTCTTCAAATCGGGTTCAAAGCTTGAAGTTCTCTGGAAACAAGGTTTTCATCTATCTATTGCGTTCAAACCATTGAAACCCTTATTCTAGGAGCAGTAATTTCTGCAAGCAAGAAATTAACGAGGACATTGTCAAAAATATCCGCGCCAAGATCAAGTCCAAAGCTACTATCAAAGCCTCATCAACCAGCAAAAAACACTCCAATATGAACGTTCCAAAAACTCTTGTTTCAGTAGAACCTGAAGCCTTTCTCCTCTGTAAGCATGTATATAGGCATAATATATCATAATGTTATATCATAATATTATGCCTTGCAGGATTCAAACTAATTCTTCATTCGCGATCTAATCGCAATGGGGATGTTGAGTCTGTTGAATAGGTGAACGATTTCTGGTGGTCCCTTGGGACTGTCGGACAACGTTTTACCCGCCTTCCAATGTTGCTTTGGAGGCGGACGACGCTGAACGCGCGCGATGCTTCTCGAACACATGTTGGAAGGTTGGAGGATTCAACCAAAAAGGTGCCTGAAATGGGACACGTAACCTGTCCAATGGCGGATTTAAGCGTCACCTGAACACTAAATAGATCTAAGTAGCTGGTTGTAGCTGGTTCTTGGGGGATTTCCCTGCAGTGATTGCGTGATAGTTAATGAGACTGTCAGTGCCATGAGCGCTCCTGTCTCCATCACTTGTTCCTGTGGAGAACATTAGCCTCCATGCTGAACTGCGATGCAGCTTCTTTCAAACGGGACATCACCTCCCAAAGCCGAAACTACAATTGTTCCCCCACAACTGTGGGGTTCTTGTTTTTGATTCTGTATCCCGGGTGCTCCGCCTCCTCCCGCCTCCTCCCGCCTCCTCCCGCCTCCTCCCGCCTCCTCCTCCCGCCGCCCGCCTGTCACACACACAACACAACTTTGTCACACACCATCTTTCACACACAACTTTGTCAACCACCATCTTTCACACACCCTCTTTCACACACCATCTTTCACACACCATCTTTCACAAACTATCTTTGTCAACCATCTTTGACACACCATCTTTGACACACCATCTTTCACACCCATCTTTGTCACACACCATCTTTCACACACAACTTTGTCAACCACCATCTTTCACACACCATCTTTCACAAACTATCTTTGTCAACCATCTTTGTCAACCATCTTTCACACACCATCTTTGTCAACCATCTTTGTCACACACCATCTTTCACACACCCTCTTTCACACACCATCTTTCACACACCATCTTTCACAAACTATCTTTGTCAACCATCTTTGTCAACCATCTTTCACACACCATCTTTGTCAACCATCTTTGTCAACCACCATCTTTCACACACCATCTTTCACACACCATCTTCACAAACTATCTTTGTCAACCATCTTTGCCAACCATCTTTCACACGCCATCTTTGTCAACCATCTTTGTCAACCACCATCTTTCACACACCCTCTTTCACACACCATCTTTCACACACCATCTTTCACAAACTATCTTTTTCAACCATCTTTGTCAACCATCTTTCACACACCATCTTTGTCAACCATCTTTGTCAACCACCATCTTTCACACACCCTCTTTCACACACCATTTTTCACACACCCTCTTTGTCAACCATCTTTCACACACCATCTTTGTCAACCATCTTTCACACACCCTCTTTGTCAACCATCTTTGTCAACCACCATCTTTCACACACCCTCTTTCACACACCATCTTTCACACACCATCTTTCACAAACTATCTTTGTCAACCATCTCTCACACACCATCTTTCACACACCATCTTTCACACACATCTTCCTCACACCCATCTCTCACGGCACTTTGCGTGGCACTTGGTGGCATCCACCTTCGTTTTGCGTGGCAGGTGTGGCGCTTATGGCACTGGGCTGGCTCTGGTGGCGCGCTTGGTTTTGCATGGCAGGCGTGGCACTTGGTGACATCCACCTTCGTTTTTCGTGGCAGGCGTGGCACTTGGCGACATCTACCTTGGTTTTGCATGGCAGGCGTGGCACTTGGTGACATCCACCTTCGTTTTGCGTGGTAGGTCTGGTGGCGCGCTTGGACTGCATTGGTCGCCGGTGACGCCGCGGCACTTTGCGTGGCAGGCGTGGCGCTTGGCGACATCTACCTTGGTTTTGCATGGCAGGCGTGGCACTTGGTGACATCCACCTTCATTTTGCGTGGCAGGCGTGGCACTTATGGCACTGGGCTGGCTCTGGTGGCGCGCTTGGACTGCATTGCGTGGCACTTGGCGACATCCACCTTCGTTTCACGTGGCAGGCGTGGCACTTGGTGACATCCACCTTCGTTTTGCGTGGCAGGCGTGGCACTTAGGCCATTGGGCTGGCTCTGGTGGCGCGCTTGGACTGCATTGGTCGCCGGTGACGCCGCGGCACTTTGCGTGGCAGGCGTGGCACTTACGCCTGCCACGCAAAACGAAGGCAGATGTCGCCAAGTGCCACGCCTGCCACGCAAAACCAAGGTAGATGTCGCAAGGTGCTGCACCTGCCATGCAAAACGAAGTGCCACGCCTGCCACGCAAAACCATGGTAGATGTCGCCAAGTGCCATGGGGCACTGGGCTGGCTCTGGTGGCGCGCTTGGACTGCATTGGTCGCCGGTGACGCCGCGGCACTTTGCGTGGCAGTCGTGGCGCTTGGTGACATCCACCTTCGTTTCGCGAGGCACACATGGCACTTGGCGACATCCCCTTTCGTTTTGCGTGGCCGGCGTGGCACTTATGGCACTGGGCTGGCTCTGGTGTCACACACCATCTTTGTCACACACCATCTTTCACTCACCACTTTGTCACACACCTTCTTTCACACACCATCTTTGACACACCCTCTTTCAAGACCCTTTCACACACCATCTTTGTCACATGCCATCTTTCACACACCCTCTTTCACACCGAACTTTGTCACACACCATCTTTGACACACACCATCTTTCACACACCACTTTGTCACCCATCATCTTTGACACACCATCTTTCACACACAACTTTGTCACACACCATCCTTGACCCTCAACTTTGTCACACACACACACCATCTTTCACACACCACTTTGTCACCCACCATCTTTGACACACCATCTTTCACACACAACTTTGTCACACACAATCTTTTACCCTCAGCTTTGTCACACGCCGTCTTTCACACACCGCTTTGTCACACTATCTTTCACACACCACTTTGTCACACACCATCTTTCACACAACTTTGTCACAACCATCTTTGACACACGACTTTGTCACACACCATCTTTCACACACCATCTTTGACATACCCTCTTTCACACGCCATCGCTGTCCAACACCTTTTTAACGCACCGCTTTGTCACACACCACTTTGTCACACACCATCTTTCGCACACCACTTTGTCACACACCATCTTTGACACACCATCTTTGACACACCATCTTTCACACCACTTTGTCACACACCATCTGTGACATACCCTCTTTCACACACCATCGTTGTCCAACACCATTTTTGACGCACGGCTTTGTCACACACCACTTTGTATCACACCATCTTTCACACACCACTTTGTCACACACCATCTTTCATCTTTCACACACAACTTTGTTGCACACCAACTTTGTCACACGCTCCCTTTCACACACAACTTTCACACACACACACACCATCTTTCACATACATACAACTTGGTCACACACACAACTTTGTTTTACTTCTCGATCCTCCACCACCTCCTTTGTCTTTCATTCTTTCCCCGTCCCCGCTACAACATTTGGTGCTCATTATTGGAAGAAGTTGCCTTGTGGGGTTATCCGGTCCTTTTTTTTTCATGATTTTACACGTCAAGCTGATCATTGCCAATTGACCCATGGACCCTGTGAACTTGGAAAATCTATTGCATAGAGAGCTGAGAGGTGTATAGTTTCTAGTAGATTTCATATTTTTGGATACTGGTCTTCAGGCTGTCAACATTTAGGGGCCCCTTTGGTCAATAGCAGCCGGCTTTTCCCAGCACGTCAGATCCATTCATATTTCAGAAGGGAAACCGGTGTGGCGGTATCGACCAGGGGTAGATTGAGGTTGATCAAAATCATATACAGCAAGTATATATATATATTTATATATTTGAATGGGTGATATAAAGTTGAGTTCCAATCACATGTCCATTGGTCAGTTATATTCTTCATTTTTGACTCCTTCGCGTTCACCACATTGTAGAATCTGAGGTGAAGCAGTCTTGCAAAAGGTTCGCTGGCGAGTCGAAGCTCGACGTTTGGAGGTTGAGGAAGAACTCTTCAGCCAGGTTGGGGCGGGAATAGAAACAAGCTGGGAGATGCAAGGTTTGCCGAGGAAATCAAAAGACACAGAATACTCATGAACTGGGCAGACTTGGCACGGATACATTCCCGAGACGGGCCACTCTGGATGCTGAGAGACCAGATCAAATGGATGCCTTCGGAGCCTTTCCACCAGTCATCAATCACGCCCGGAACAACCTGGATTTTGCGTTGCGACGAGTGCTACCAGCAGGTTACACCAGATTACAGGGGTGTAGAAGCGAATGTTGTGGCACAGCATGGAGCTGCAAGTGTAGGACTGCAGCCGGACAATACGGAGAAATGTTTGCATCACTCTGGCGCTGCAAGCATCAACCAGATGTCAGCATAATATCGTCTATTGTATGTATGTATGTATGTATGTATGTATGGATGGATGTATGTATGTATGTATGTAGGTATGTGTGTATGTATGTATGTAATGTAATGTATGTAATGTAATGTAATGTAATGTAATGTAATGTAATGTAATGTAATGTAATGTATATATGTATGTATGTATGTAATTAATGTATGTATGTATGTATGTATGTATGTATGTATGTGTGTGTATGTGTGTATGTATGTATGTATGTAATCTATGTATGTATGTAATGTAATGTAATGTAATGTAATGTATTGTATGTATTGTATGTATGTATGCATGTATGTATGTATGTAATCTATGTATGTATGTAATCAATGTATGTATGTAATTAATGTATGTATATAATGAATGTATGTATGTAATTAATGTATGTATGTAATTAATGTGTGTATGTTTGTAATTAATTTCTGTATGTATGTATCTAACTATGTATCTATGCAATTAATGTATCTATGTAATTACTGTATGTATGTAATTAATGTATATATGTAATTAATGTATGTATGTGTGTATGTATGTATGTATGTGTGTGTATGTATGTAATTAATGTATGTATGTATGTAATTAATGTATGTGTGTAATTAATGTATGTATGTAATTAATGTATGTATGTAATTAATGTATGTATGTAATCAATGTATGTATGTAATTAATGTAATGTATGTAACTAATGTATGTATGTAATTAATGTATGTATGTAATCTATGTATGTATGTAATGTAATGTCATGTAATGTTATGTAATTTAGTGTAATGTAAGTATGTATGTATGTATGTATGGATGCACGGATGTATGGATGTATGTAATGTATGTATGTATGTATGTATGTATGTATGTAATTAATGTATGTATGTATGTAATTAATGTATGTGTGTAATTAATGTATGTATGTAATTAATGTATGTATGTAATTAATGTATGTATGTAATCAATGTATGTATGTAATTAATGTAATGTATGTAACTAATGTATGTATGTAATTAATGTATGTATGTAATCTATGTATGTATGTAATGTAATGTCATGTAATGTTATGTAATTTAGTGTAATGTAAGTATGTATGTATGTATGTATGGATGCACGGATGTATGGATGTATGTAATGTATGTATGTATGTATGTATGTATGTATGTAATGTAAGTAATGTATGTATGTATGTATGTATGTGTGTGTGTATGTATGTATGTATGTATGTATGTATGTATGTAATGTATGTATGTAATCAATGTATTTATGTAATTAATGTTTGTATGTAAGTAATGTATGTATGTAATGTAATGTAATGTATGTAGTTAATGTAATGTATGTAATGCATGTATGTAACTAATGTATGTATCTATGTGTGTGTATGTATGTTTGTATGCATGCATGTATGCATGCATGTATGTATGTATGTATGCATGCAATGTATGTATGTATGTATGTATGTAATCTATGTATGTATGTAATGTAATGTAATGAAATGTAATGAGAGTATGTAATGTATGTAATGTAATGTAGTGTAGTGTAGTGTAATGTATGTATGTATGTATGTATGAATGTAATTGATGTATGTATGTATGTATGTATGTATGTATGTATGTAATTAATGTATGTATGTAATTAATGTATGTATGTAATTAATGTATGTATGTAATTAATGTATGAATGTAATTAATGTATGAATGTAATTAATGCATGTATGTATGTAATTAATGTATGTACGTAATGTATGTATGTATGTAATTAATGTATGTATGTAATTAATGTATGAATGTAATTAATGTGTGAATGCAATGATTGTATGTATGTAGTTAATGTCTGTATGTAATTAATGTATGTATGCAATTAATGTCTGTATGTAGTTAATGTATGTATGCAATTAATGTATGTATGTATGTAATTAATGTATGTATGTATGTATGTAACTAATGTATGTATGTATGTAGGTATGTATGTATGTATGTATGTGTGTATGTATGTATGTAATCTATGTATGTATGTATGTAATTAATGTATGTATGTATGTATGTAGGTCATGTATGTATGCATGTAATGAATGTATGTATGTATGTAGTTAATGTATGTATGTGTGTATGTATGTATGTATGTAGGTATGTATGTATGTGTGTATGTATGTATGTATGTATGTTATCTATGTATGTAATGTAATGTAATGTAATGTCATGTAATGTAATGTAATGTATATATGTATGTATGTATGTATGTAATTAATGTATGTATGTATGTATGTATGTAACTAATGTATGTATGTATGTATGTATGTAGGTATGTATGTATGTATGTATGTGTGTATGTATGTATGTAATCTATGTATGTAATGTAATGTAATGTAACGTAATGTAATGTAACGTAATGTAATGTAATGTAATGTATGTATGCCTGTGTGTGTATGTATGTATGTATGCACGTACGTACGTACATAATATAATATGATGTAATGCAATATAATGTAATGTAGTATAATGTAATATGATATTTATAATATATTGTAATATAGTATAATAATATATTATAATATGATATATAGTACAATATAATACACTATACATGATATATACTTCTATATATATATATACACGTAATACATGCATGGTTGCAAATGATACTGGAAATGGCGACAACTCAACGAGCTGAAACTGCGATCACCATGCGAGGTACGAAATAAGATGGAGGCGCATGGCCTTAGAAGGCTGGCTGTGCTGATGCTGTCGAAGGCTGTCCTTGAAGATGTCCTCGACACATTTCACAATCTTAGCGCCTTCAACATATGTGTAGAGAATTTCGCAGGGTGCCTCAAAGCGAAAAGAGCGCGATGGAAGAACCACAGGCAGAGTGGCCCAGCGTTGTGGCACAATTGGGTTGTGCAAAGTCATAGTGAACTCCACCGATCAATGTGGGTGTTGAATCCTGGAATTTTTGTTGATATGTCAATTCTTGTTGATGATAGCCCCCCTTTTTGCTGTTGCTTGTGTCAACTTGTGCTCTCAAAAAAGAAATGAGTCCTGAGTCAAACAATCAGTGAAGATAGTGAAGGGAATAGATCGAATAGTTCATCCCAGTCATCGCAGGTCCAAAAGCCTGAAACCTTTGATCAGATGGTGCAGCGTATGCGTGGCACCTGGGACCAGCGTCTCAAAGTCTTGGAAGGAGACAGCTGACGGCGTGAGGGTAGTGTGTTGCTCAACTTGCGGTTCTAAAATGTGTCAAAGGTATAACATACACATTTAACAATGATGAGACTGTATCAATACCAATACATCCAATACCTTTTGTGAAAGGTTGAGTGAACCGTGGAGACCGATGTGAAAAATATTGTACCAATAGGTTTCATGTGACGCTTGCAGGACAAGGACGGACTCCAGGATCGCAGAGGCCAAGGTGCAATCGGACAGTGGTGGATTGGGTGGTCGTGAAATGTAGGGAGGGTCGTTTCTTTTGAGAGTTTATAGATGTTGATATTGTCTTTCTTTAAGTTTTTCAATTTTTGGCGTGGATCCCAGTTTGCCAGATCTCCAGGGTGAAACTTCAAAGAACTATAGTTTTTATATAGATGTTTTCCGCCTCATGTTTGAGCGTTTTAGATACTGAACATGATTGCACCTGTTTTACTTGCATGCTCTCTTTTTTCATCGTCAGTAGCATTCGCTGCTTTTGGATTTTTGGACTTGGCTCTTTGGGATTATTGTAGGTTTTGCTGGCCGTATTATGTCCAGCTGTTGCTGTCCAGGTACTGAGTAGCTTGCATTTAGCGTGTTGACTGGGATTTAGTACCTGCGTGAAGAGAGTGGACCTCAGAGTTTCAGGATTTCTGCCAGGTCCTTCCCAGGATGTCTCCTCTTGACTGGAGAAGAACTCTAGTTTGCGGGGATGCCGACACGCAAAGACACTGTGTCCATACATCCTTTGCTCAATCAACAGACACCACGCAAGTGTACGCTTAGATGTTTTGATCTTTTGACTATCTTCGGGATTGGTTTTTCATTGAAATACATGTCTTTGGTGCATTTCTCAAGGACAGAGTTCTTTATTGCAAACTAAATCGACACACGACAGAGCACAGACTTCTGATTCCGTGTTTTTGCATACTAAATGGTCACGAACTTTTAGGCACCCTATTGAATCACCAATAAAGCAATGAAACACAGATAAACATTGAAATGCATTGACTAATTTCTGGATGATTGGGCAAATGAAAGTCCTTGAATACGGGCGCGCGGCAATTGGAGGCCCACGGTTTAGTAGCACATTTTCTTGTGCTGTTGATACGTCACACGTTTTTGGATTTGGCATGCAAGTTTAAGATGCTTCCCTATTCCGCAAAGTGCCCATGATGCCAATTCTAATTGGCTTTGATGAAAAGGGGTGTTGAATCAGACGCCTTACATTTGAATATGAGCCACTGCAAAGGATGCTAGCTAGGCTTCCTTTGAGATTGAAGTTTCTAGCATTCGTTCTTGCTGATTTATAAGGATGGACTCTTGTGAGGAAGGCAGGTAAACATTCGAAGATGCAGTGGAATGTGTCAAAGCAGTTTCCTATGGAGCAAATTGGGGAACCTCAAACCTGTTGGTCGGGCGCCCGAGAAGAACATGCTCGTTGATTTTGTGAGTTTGGGACATGCGCAAAATCCGGCTTGGTTCCATTCTACTGGACAAGTCAGCATGTACAGCTGAAGGTGGGCATCAGTATTTGTTGCTTCTTGTAGGGGCTTCATTTGCAGGTTGGAAAACATTTTTGTCAAGTGAGTACAGTTCTATCTTGAGGATCCAAAATGCTATCCCGATTCTCTACTGCCACTGCCACTATATGCTACAGTACTATATGCTACTATGAGGCCAGAAGTCTCTCATGTACACTGCATGCTGTCAATGATAAACGAGTGGATGCGCACGAAT